TCTCTCTCTCTCTCGTATTTATCATTAAATAGCATAAATTTAAGTCAATTAATGCCTGTAATTAATCAGTAGGAGAGAGTATTAATATGAGAGAGAGAGAGAGAGAGAGAGAGAGAAAGAGAGAGAGAGAGAGAGCACCTGTTTTGTTACCCATGATATAAATATTTCCCAACAAATAAAAATTACACTAATTTTTATTTCATTTTACTAATTATTTTTTATTCCGGAAATTTCTCACCAAAAACTGATTTTCATTACCTATAAATTAATTTAGATTTTTGTTTCTAAAATGGTTTTATAATAAAAAATTGGATATTTTATATATAAGTTGCATTTAAATATTTATCATGCACCATTTGCATTTACAATTTGCTCATTTTTTAGTAAACATGGTAATCGCGGTTGCATTTACGGTGATATACATGTATAACACATTTAAAAATTCAATTGAATTTAAATATTTAATAATATGATCACCAAAAATGTGTTTATCTCATTGAAAAGTATATGCATTTTTAAGATAAAATTTTTATAACACATTATGCATACAAATATACACACATTACCAGTGGTTTCAATGTTTTTATTACATTCGTCAATAATATATTTATTTAACAAATAATTTTTACCGCAAGCAAATATTTTCAAACAAATATTTAATACGTGATAACTATTTACTGTATATTTTAGGCAAACAACTAATGCCCTGAAAAATATAACACTAATGCTCTGAATGGCTGTCAAACAAATTTCAAACATATAAAACAGACTTTTATTTTTGTCTAACAAACGCCTAAATAGATCTATATTTAAGACTTAGAGAGAGAGAGAGAGAGAGAGAGAGAGCTAATAGAGTAAATCTATGGCATAATGCATAACATTATACTCAACAAAATAAGTCTTATAATACGGTATATACTGTACATAATTTACAGCAAACTGAATACACCATCACTGGTATTACGTGAGGGCTAAATAACATCACACATACATACAGTTAGGGAAATGTATGTTTCGGGTAATACTATGGACTAATTTTCAACACATATACCATAGTTAGGTAATAAACATCACTACACAAAACTGGATGGTAAAACTGAATGACAGCACCTTATTATGAGTTTTGCAAATTAGCTCAACAGACACATCTCAAAACATAATATACATAATATGCACTCGTACTGTAAGTACCATGTGTGATTATGTATTACGTATTAGAGCTTACACTAGGACTGTCTGTTTGTGTGATGAGTGTGCATGGGTAAATTAGCATTTAGTTTATGCTAAATCTTCTTTCTAAATCTCTCTCTCTCTCTCTCTCTCTCTAAGTCTTAAATATAGATCTATTTAGGCGTTTGTTAGACAAAAATAAAAGTCTGTTTTATATGTTTGAAATTTGTTTGACAGCCATTTAATATAACAAACAATTCAGAATAAAAACTCAAAACAATCGATAATATAATGTGAATAAAATAAATATAATG